CTTTCCACAAATGATCTAAGATACCTCTTTGATTGACTCCCCTGGATTTACATCGACTTAGAAAGGAATTGCCAGGAGGCCTTCACGACTTGGGATTCACTTCTTTTGGCAGGGCCATACTTCCCTGGTTAGGGTAATTGTAAATGAGAACATGATCAGGAACTTCTCCTTAACTCTTGAAAGTATTGCAGAATATACTGCTAAAGCAGTGGTTGCCTAACAAATCTCCTTAGACTCTCGGCCAAAGTTGTTCTTGGTAATAGGCTAGCCCTTGATTATCTTTTACCTGAACATAGAGGCATCTGTGCTGTGGCCAGCACCATCTGCTGCACCTGGATTAACACGTCTGGGGAAGTTAAAACTCAGTTACATAAGATCCCTTATCAAGCCACTTGTCTTAAAAAGGTGACTCCTTCAACGAGGTCTTTCTTTGACGTAATGATTTTGATTGGTTTGGGTCTTGGAGACATTGGCTCTGATGTGCACTCCAAACATTGGAAATTATCCTGCTTATTATAATCATAATAATCCCTCTGGTGCATTGTATCCTCTCAAAAGTCTTAAATGCATGTTTGCAGCTGCTAACTACCAAGCAAATGATCTCTCTAAGAATAGAACATCAGAAAAGGAACAAAGAGAATGACCAACTTAAAAATTGTGAACTGAAGTTATGGCATGTGAATATCATAGAAATTAAGCAAAAATCATCATGACCTGTGAATACCAAACAAAGGATTAACAAAAGCTGTGACAACTTCAGAGCAGTAGCTGGGAGTGGCACTAATACCTTAAATTTTGATCATATCTCTCAGTTAGGCTGAAAGTCTGATCAAAATGGGGAATTATGAAAAAGCAGACAGCAGGCCCAAAATGGAGTCACTTGTGCCAAGCCCATATCTAGCAAACCAAGACTTAATACCTAACCTAACTGCAATTTCAGCTTCCCAGGAACGTGACCTTTAACCAGTCAACACTCAATTACCTGGTCAGCACTAGTGAGATAATCCACCCGACAGGCCCTTCCGTTCCCCTTAGGAAGGCAACCTTGCCTGAAACACTGCATTCTTTGTTAATAATTTTCTTTTTTCTGCTCCCTGTCTTCCTTTAAAAGCTTTTCAATTTCTGTAGCTCTTTGGAGCTCCTTTCTATTTGCTAGATGGGATGCTGCCCAATTCATGAATCATTGAATAAAGCCATTTGATCTTTATGTTTACCCAGTTGGATTTTGTTTTTTGACAGCTGTGTGGAGTCATAAACCAGAGAGAAGCAGGTAGAGGAGCAGAGCCCTCAAAGTCACTACTGGTAACCTTTTGGGTCATCCTTTTAAATGGAAAGTGTCTGTATGTGAGGACCCACCTAAAGCGAGATGTCCTGGACCATGTGTTCGCTAAACATTTCCTCCTCTAACATGCCAATGGCCAGTCAGGGGCATCATGGTACAGCCATCTACCTTCCTCCACAGTTCTGGGCAATGGGCAAAAATGAAAGTCTTGATAGCCCAATAGCTCTAATGTGGACACATCTCTTTTAGGTTAATGGTTCTTAAACCTGAGTGGGTATAAAAATCACCAGAGAGGTTTGATGAAAAAAGCAGATTCCTGCCTCTCATGCAGTGCACTTGAGGAATCTGAATCTTTTTGACAAGCCCTAACTGGAGAAATCTACCTTTATTACTCAATAATTGCATGTGTGTTTTAACAGTGTTCAAGCAGATATTCATCTGTTCATTTCTTCAATCCTTTATACCTGTGTAGTGCCACCACACAGAGGAGAAGACTGGCCATTACAGGCAGGTAGACCCAAAGGCAGATGCACATTCAAGATGGGCATCAGAAGGCTCTGCAGGGATGGGGATGGTTCACTAGAGATCTAAAGGGTGGCTTGAGGAGGCCACAGGCAAAGAAGCAGCAAGATTTCTGGGGGCAAGAGAAACCTCCATTTCACTTCTTCATTTAGGGAACTAAACACCCATGATCATTGAAACACATATAAACCTGATCCAATAATTAAGAGAGCTCTATTTATGTCTTTATAGCTCACTGTTTCGAAATGAAACTAACTCCATTTTACAATATTGAAATAAAACTTAGGATGTTAAGAGCTCTAAACAGCCATTCACTGTATTGCTTAAGTTCTTCTTTAAATGCATTCCTCTCCTTTGTCATGCAAATTTCAAACTGTGCCTAAAAGTGAGATGTTAATTAATGAGTCTCCAAAGTCATCTTCAGCCAAGCTGACTCACTTCTGCTTTGCCTGTGTGTATAATGCAGCCCCATGACCTCCCTGAAACTTCTGTGCCTGGGTGGCAGGCATTACTGCATGTGCAAGGTGGATTAGCCTTGCTTTGTTTGGGTTAGGAAACTGAGGCACAGGTGTTCGCACAACTTGCCCAAAGCCTCCACATGTGATCCTTAGCAGAGCCTGGCTCCTGCCCTCCTTGGTCCAAGGCTGCTCATTTCTGCTTCTCCTTCTTGGAGATAGTGGCCCCTTAACTAGCCCAACACTGTGGATCTTTCAGAATAGAGTTGAAGACATTGACAATTATCATCCAGCCTTTGAACAACTCTGTTTCTTTGAACTCTTGTTGAAGATCTCTGATTGTGTCTTCTCACCTTGCCTGGCACCCTTTCTGTTGTGAATTGTTTTTCTCTGTATTTTCTCCAAGGTCATTACTTTAAAAAAAATTTCTTCTAGTTTTGTGGAAATTTCTTTTTCTCTCTTTGTTAAAAGATTCTTTCTTTCTTTTGGCAGTATCATTTCTACCCCAAAAGTGTCAATATTTCTTCCTCAGCTCCCAGCCCCCTGGCTCTGTGTGCTAATGTGCTCTCCAGGTCTCAGGCTATTCTTTCTGACTTGTCTCTGTTATTCTGCACCCCCATCCCCCACCCCTTCCCATTACTTTTCAGTCTGTTGCTATTTGGAAGGATTTGCCTGCAAAATCTGTGTGTTCCCTGTGGCTTCCCACAGCTGTAAAAGTGCATTGACCACTTGCTTTCTGTCAGAACTGCACTGATACACACTTGCAGAGTATAGAATAACCATGCAAACAGCTATCTAATTTAGCTCCTTATGAAAATGGACTAAAATGCACTAAATATAAGGTGCTGACTAGCAGTTAGAAAACCACCTATGGTGTATGGGCAGGCATAAAATACTCTGTGTAATTAGTTAATTGATATGTATAAAGGAATACAAGTAAGGACTATATAAATAAGTTATATGATAAAAGAGGTAGTTCACATCAGCGATTTAAAGACATATTTCTCAAATTTTTAAGTAAAGTTAGATTCTAACCTCAAGCTGTGTACTGAAAGTTCGGATGCATTAATAATTAAATGTAACAGTTTTTAAAAAATAAGTGTCAAACCTTGGTCAATATTTATAGGGCTTAATTTCTCCATACTTCAGTTTCCTTATCAGTAGAATGCCTGTTGCAAGGGTAAAATGATTTAATACACAAAAGCACTTAGAACATAGTGTGCAACAGAGTAAGTGCTTAAAAGAAATTGAGGGGGAGTTAGGTCATTAGGTAGAGAGGACTTTCCCAAATGCAAGCAGCAAAGACCACAAAAGGAAAGGCTGATAGATTGGACAACAGGAGACTTGAAACAATGCATGTGGAAAAAAGCACAAGAAATGACATTGACAATGTTGCCAATGAAAGCTGGAATAAAAACTATACAACAAAAACTGGATTAATAGCGCTAATATATTCTGTGTGACTATATAAATTTTATGTTGTATAACATGCAATATACATAATATATAACACAAAAAACTGTCAGATTGCTACTTTAAAAAAGTTAGAAGACATAAAAATAAAAGTTATGTATATAAAAAACTTTTATAAAAGTTAAAAGACATCAAAAGTAATTCACAAAAACAGAAATACAAATCAAAAGTAAACAAGTGAAAAATATTAAACTTGATCAATAATCAAAGAAATGTCAATGGGAACAGTTTTCAGGAGCCATTGTCTGTTTGGCTATCAAACCCAATGCAGGGAGAATTCTGAGAGGTGACTTTGTCACCTAGTAGGTGCCTTGAGAAACTCAAAGGTGGGTTTGGAAGCAATTAACTGTTTTTGCAAGTTGTTTCTTTTCCTTTTGTATGTTAAGGAGATGTAACCATCAACCATCCTGAAACTGACCAAGCCTCACCACAAGAGCTATGCCCATGACCTTTGCCTGATTTTCAATGCAAAGATCTCTCCAGGAGGAGCTTAGGCCTCATTATGTGGGAAGCATGTTCTCCAACTGAGCCTGTGCAAGCGAATACCCACCTCTCCATTTGGAATATTCATTCCTCAACCAAAATAAAAGTTCCTGCTTCCCTTTGTTTGGGGATGCCATGACTTTGGAAATGATTCCTCATGGCCTCCTATTTGCTGCAAATACACTTTACTTTGTGAGACAACTTCAACTGGTCTAGAGTCTTGTTTAACTCACCAGGAGGCGAGCCCACTTGCTGTGGTAACAAGTTCCCACACTGCTAACGGAGCTGGTGGAATATGATTTGGCAAAGATCATGCAAGTCCTCTGACCCAGACATTCTGCTTCTAGGAATATATATTAAGTAGCTATAGGTGAATACAAAACTGTAGTGATAAGAATATGTATAAAAGTGAAAATGTGTGGATTATCCTAGTGTCCAGACAAGATTGTCTGTGTGTCAATCTTGAATGTATGATGCAATCATTAAAATGATCCTACAAAATAATATTTATGACACAGAAACTTATTCATAACATATTTTTGAGTTACAAAACAGAAATACGTAAGCTATACACTCATACCTGGGTAGAAGGATTATAACTAATTTTTCCTTTATTTTCCAAATTTTCTAAGTTGGATATTTAAAAAATGTAAACACATTTTTGAAGGGATTATGTGCATTACTCATTGTTATTCAACACATGCATAATAAACAATAACATATCTTTCACTCTTAGTTTAGTAAGAGTTCTCAGAAATATTTGCACATTGGAATGCTATACATACGGAGGGAGCTTGTAGGCTTATTCGCTCATGAATCCATCTTGAGGAATCTGGATGTAATAACTACAAGAAAAGAAAAAAAAAAAAATTAGAAAATTGCTATTCAAATCTGCATCACCGACCCCTTAATCAACAAAAATCTTTAAGGTATGATTACATCAATCCATGTCACCAGTAGGTGAAACTGAAGAGGTACTTGAGGGTCACATTCATATCTTCAGAATACCTGTCTTGTTCCTTTCAAGTTTTGTTGAATTAGTTATTTATATCGTGTTGTATAAGATCCTTAGGAATAAGCATCATTTATCTCAAACTATCCTCCCACTACGTTCGCAGAAAATCTTTGCTACTGCAACTCACCGATGTTTTCTTCTTGGTGGTTGTTGGTTTTCTACAACTTGAATAATAGTTGAGGGTAGCATACTCCATCAGAGCAGCAAAGACAAACAAGAAGCACACAGTCACGAAGAGGTCCATGGCAGTCACATAGGACACACGGGGCAGGGACTTCCTGGCTATGGTGCTGAGTGTGGTCATGGTCAGCACTGTGGTGATGCCTGCATGGGAAACAGGTACCGAGTTGTAAAAGGAGCCACACAGAATCCCCCCACTCCAACACAATGTCTTATTTTTACATGACTCTTTCTTGACATTGCATAAATGTAATAATACTTTTAATTTTAATGTCTATACAATTTTGTAAGCAACGTTTCCATGAAAGTTATTATCCAAGCCTTCACAATAAAATTAAAATACCTGAATTAAGTTGACACCTTTCAGTTTATTCAGTAATTCTGCTGTTTGAAAATTTGTCTTTTAAATACTTTTAATGAAGGTACAGTTTACAGTCCCCCTACACATTCTGTGCTCTTCCACATCTCATACTTTTCTTCTGCACAGGTAAACTCTTTTCCTTCTTACTTCTCCTTCCCTATGCAATTTGTAACCTCCTACCTTTCTTCAAGACCCAGCTGAAGCACCACTCTGTCTGAGGTGCCTTTGCTTACAGCACCCCAGGCAGAGTCAATAACATGCACATCTGTGCTATCCCTGTACCTTCTATTCACCTTGTTTTTTGCATTATCACAGTGAATTGCAGATGTTTTGGTAATCTTTGCCTGCCTGCATCCCTAAATTAATTATGTGATATTTAAGAGCAAAAGTGTATCTTGCTCATCTTTGCTAGTCGGTCATCTAGCATCTTGCCTAGCACATTTTAGGCATTTCAATGAATGTTTGCACTGAATGCATTAGTTAACTGATTAACTATTTACTAATAATACTGAGTGTTGGTCTGACTTTGACTATTTCATATACATGAGTTAATACTAAAGATTTAATCAAAGACTGTGGAAAAGATTTAGAAAAAAGACATCTGTGAAGGATAGTTTAGAAGGAAAATCAAATAAGAAAAGGAATGGAGTCTATCGAACATGAAGAGTGAAATGACTAGAGTGGTATCACATGAAATGAATTAGGGCTGACTATCCCCTCGATGAGCTCCTGGAGAATCAGAACCTGCTAGAGTTGCTGGACAGGTAGGTTAATGACATGGAACCCAAGAATCATAGGAATCTGGACTTTAATGACTCACCACCTCTGTGCTTCAAAGGGAATACAATAAAATATCTGCCTAGCAGTACTACATGTCCAGGATTAAGTGGACATGACAGATGAATGCACATTAGTTCCCACCTTTGCTGGAGCATCACAGTTCTTGTTTAGTTCCTCTCTGTACCTGTTCAAGGTGATCAGCCGGGGCCATGTGTAAAGGATACTAACCTGGAAGTCAAAACCCTCAGCCTTGCTCTGGGCCTTCTCAGCATTTAGTCATGTGAAGTCACTTACCTTCTTTGAGTCAATTTCTTTAATGAGTACAGTGAAAAGAGAATACCAGGCTCTCCTTACTGTAGGTGGAAAAGTGGTGATACATGTAAAAATGCTGTGTAAACTGGGAACATCTACAGTGATGTCAGGTGCATTTTTATGAAAATAGATTTTGCAATAAATATCCAATTTAACTTTTAAAAAACTGTGGTGACCATGGTGACATGTCTATGGAATCTGTAAATAGGTATTTTTCACTAAATTTGGGGATTTTAACTTCATTTCTTCACAAAACTTTTTTACTTCATTTTTTTTTCTGTCTCATTCTGGACCCTAAGTTACAGTTATGTTATACATCTTCATATTGTCACACAGTTCATTGAGGCTCTGTTCATTCTTTTAAATCTTTTTATCCCTCTCTTCTTCAGATTAGATAAATTTCACATGATAGTCTTCAATTATACATGACCTTTTTTTCTGCCTTCTTCAATTTGCTCTTAAGCCCATTTAGTGAATTTTTCAATTCAGCTATTATATATTTCATTCTAGAATTTCCTTTTTCATACACTTTATCTGCTGAGATTATCTGTCTGTTCATTCATTGTCATCATATTTTCCTTTAAGTCCTTGAACATTATTATAATAGCTGCTCTAATGCCCATGTCTGCTGAGTCAACAATCACAGTTGTCTTTTTATATGGACTCTTTTTTTCCTTGATCATGGGTCACATTTTCCTGCTTCTTAGAATGTATGGTAATATTTTATTGTATACTCAACATTGTGAATGATACATTACAAGGAGTCTGGGCTCTGTTATCTTTTTTAACAGCATGTTGAATGTTTTATTATGATACACAGTTAATTTACTGGTGGTTCTTGATCTTGTTAAGGTTTGGTTTAAGCTTTATTTAGAGGAAGTCTAGTGTACCCCTTTACTTCTGGGCACAGCTCTTCTGGTGTCTCAACTAAATATCCTGGTGTTAATGACATTTCTCCACTCTTCTGTGCTGTAAATCTAGCTGCCAGCACTGTGTATATCTTGTATCTCTGTCCTCTTAATTCCACAACAGCTACTCTTTGATAGGATTTTCATAGTCTCAAGTTATACAAACATAAGTACATATTATATTGTTTTGAATCTGATCTTTAAAGTCATCCTCACTATGACATCCAACATTTGTAATTGTGAGATCATAACCCCAAGAATAGTTACTAAATTTGTGTTATATCTTTGCCTGCTGACTTACAAATTCTATCATGTGTTTTCTATTAGCATGCAAAACTAGTATTGGTAGAGGATATTACAGGCTAATTTATCTCGTTCAAACAGTACTTTGTTGTTGAACAAACAAACAAAGAATAAAAAAAAAACACAGAGACAACACAATGTAATATGAGAGATTTTGCAAGGATTTTTAAATTGAGACAGCTTCCTCTTTTCTGAAAGAAATTTTTTGGGAAAAACAACCTCTTTATTCAGTCATATACATTACCTATCTTCACAAATCACAATATTGAAAGTTAGGCAAAATTCCTATCATAAAGAAAAACTGACATAAAACATGTTGCACAATTCTAAAACCACTGAAATTTAATGTTTTATTAAGAGGACTTTGGGTGTCAGAGGAAAATTCATGAAAAGACTTTGAGCTTTAGTGTGTAGATTATTCTAAAAGGAATTACTATTTTCTTGTTTGTTGGTAAAGTTGATATAGACAAGCGTAACTTCTTTTATTGAGAGACTATTTTACCAATATTGTGTCTTCAGTCCTCAAAGGTGTGTGGTAAGTTCTGTTTCCTTCCACTGACACAGTGAGACTTTTGAGTGTGGTAGGTTCCAGGACATGACTACATTTTTATGATACATTATCCTTAGACCATAGTATCATATGATACAATTGATTTATTCTGAATCCTTAATCCTGTCTTAATTTAAGTGGCACACATGGAATTCTATTGTCAGAAAGAACAATCTAACTTGGCTACTTAAAAAAAATCTAAGCATGGTTCAAGTAGCCCTCAAATTAGATCAATTACAACATTTAACTCTCTTTCATTGAAGATATTTTTATGAATACTTCTGTATTAAAATTACACAAAATGGTGGGAGAGTTTTTTGAAACTCACCTAATGCTGTTCTTGCTGGTGTAGCATCTTTTTTGATCCAAAAGGAGACCCAGGATAAAACCACAGTCAGTATGCAGGGAATGTATGTTTGAATAGTGAAGTATCCCATTCTTCTACTCAATTCAAAGTATATAGTCATGACAACATACTCCCCTGTAATAAAAGATTGTCAAAATTAAGACAACTTGCTTGGGTTAAAAAATAATTCAGGGAGGTCTGGCCCAATGATATAATGGTTAAGTTCGCACGCTCTGCTTTGGTGGCCCAGGGTTCATGGGTTTGGATCCCAGGTGTGGACCTATGCACTGCTCATGTAAGCCATGCTGTGATGGCATCCCACATACAAAATAGAGGAAGATTGGCACAAATGTTAGCTCAGTGACAATCTTCCTCCAGCAAAAAGAGGAGAATTGGCAACAGATGTTAGCTCAGGGCCAAACTTCCTCACCAAAATCACAGTAATAATAATAATAATAATAATAATAATTCAGGGAAATAATTTATAATTTATTTTGTTAAATGAATGACTTGGAAAAAATGTACAACTACAGCAATATCAAATTGGATAAAGGATAAAAATGCTGTTGTTCTTAAACTTAATTTTTATAGTATCCATGGCTGTGCAAGGCATTTTACTGGTCACCGTAAAAGACACACAAACATATTAATTTATAGAGGAGATAGACATACATATCTATTTCATGACAGACCATTACTTAATGAACTATTATTGCTTGAGTCCATCTGTATGTTGCATGTTTAAAATCAAGGGTAACAGATAACAAACTCAATCCTCCAACAGATCCATAGGCATTTTGTTTTTTCAATAATAACAGAGCCATACATAAGCTTTCATACATAAACTTGTGTAACTATTTTATATTTTTATTTTGTTATAGCATGAATTTTAGCTTATCAACCCTGTACTTTGTTTTACTTAATATTTTTATATTTATCTTATCCTTTCATAACACCAGCACTTAGGCTGTGCCAACGTAGAAACAAACAGAAGTAATTATTTTATGACATTCTGCTCCCTCCTACTAAAGCAAAACCAAAGCATAAAGGACTTGAGAGCAATATAGATGTTACTAGCCAGTCACGGTGGTCTAGTGGTTAAGATTTGGCACTCTCACTACTACAGCCCAGGTTCGTTTCTTGGTTAGGGAACACCACCACCCATTTCTTAGTTGTCACACTGTGGCTGCTGTGTGTTGTTGGGATGCTGGAAGCTATGCCACTGGTATTTCAAATACCATCAGGGTCACCCATGGTGGGCAGGTTTCAGTGGAGCTTCCAGTCTAGACAAAGAAGAAGGATCTGGCCACCCACTTCTGAAAAAATGGGCCATGAAAGCCCTATGAAAAGCAGCAAGGCACTGTCTGATACAGTGCCAGAAGATGAGAACTTGGCGCAAAAAGACCAGGCAGGGTCGCTAGAAGCTGGAATCAACATGATGGCACTAACAACAACAAATAGATGTTACTAGAGATTCCGTAAGATTCCCTGGGGGGTTAGGGGAGGGCACAAATACATTTTACATTTCATTCCAGAATTATCTCTATTCATGTCTTTTCCAGGTGACCTCCTTCTGAGAATGTGTCTTTCTCCATCTTCCCATTTGACCTCCACCCTTCAGCCTGCTGGATTGAGCCTTCTGGATAATAGTCTAGAACTGAACTGTCATCTCCACCACACTGATTCCGGCTCTTCATTCAGGTCGTTCTCTCACTTCTTCAAGGCAGAAACCCGGAAGCCATGTCTGACTCCTCCTTTTCCCTTCTTCAATTCCTGCATCCTTCTTAACTCCTTTCCCTACTTAGCCCAAGTACCATAGTCTATCATGGCCGCCATGGTCTATCATGGCCACCAGTGAAGTGAAGCAAACCACTTCACTCCATTCTTTGTCCTGCCACCAAAAGGATCTTTCTAAAGCACAAATATCATTGTATCCCTCGCCTTATAATTCTTTACCAGCATCTTGCTGCCCTTATACAATCGTCACACTTTCATTAAGGTCAACACCATTCGCATGAAATGCCCCTTGCCCTGTACTTCTGCACTCTGGACTCCCCAGGTCCTCAGATATGCCAAGATCCTTCCCCAGGGGACACTGAATCCCTTCCCTTCTGCCCAGGATGCTCTTCTCTTCCTTTCCCTGGCATCCTTATAGTTCCCACTCATCTTTGAATCTCAGCTTAGAAATCACTTAGTTCCCCAGGAAGTTCTCCCAACAACTGTGATTAATTTGTTTCTATAATTATTAACATAATATCTGTCTTCAAACCAATAAACTGGTTGGCTTATATAATATTTCTCTCCTGCTCAGTAATGCTGCCTAATGATAAGCAATCAATTAGCATTTGCTGAATAAAAAGATCATCATGAAAGTCCCACTTTTACTTAAAAGATTGACAAGGAGACTCCATTGAGCCCACATGAAAACTACGCCTTTCACTAAATTAGAATTTCTTTTGCAGGATGTAGTGTTCTGTTGTAGCAATATTGAGGATGGTGGATAGAAATGACAATTTTGAGATCCTTTCCCAAGAAACATTTAAAATTTTAAACAAATTTGCATTTTAGTACAAAGGAATCAGAATGATTAAGCTGAAGCAATCAAAGAACACAAGAATATTTTTCTAAGTAATATGAATGCCAAGTTACATCATTTCCTGGGGAAATATTATTGAATTATGTGTGACATTTAAGTGCCTATTAATTTTTACATAAAGTTTCAATAAAAAACCAAGCAGAAAAACAAACAGCAAACAGATAAGAGAACAAAACATAATAGATCACCCTAGCAGTTATGAACATAGCTCAAATGGACTATCCAAAGAGTTGAATAACTTCTTCAACCACCACTGTAGGTTCCTGAGCAAGATAAACAGAGGGACAACTCCAGAATACAACTCATTTTAGCAAATCCGTCTGCTTTCCCCCAGCTTGATGTAAACAGGCTCCCCACACCTGTGCTCAGCATGCCCCTCTGCCTAACTCAGAGGTCTGCCCGGACGTCCCCATCAGGTGTGAAAGTGAGGTGGGCTGTCAGGGCCACATCCTGGGGCCTGATTCTGTAACTCAGCTGGCTTTTGGTGAGGTTCTGAGACACATCCCAAGAAGTGCCTCCAGAGAGCCCCACAGTTCTCGTTTTCCAGCTTCCACAGGGAACAAACAGCTGGTGAAGCAGTAGCAGGAGGAATTGTAGGCTCCAGCTCCACTGCCCCACACGGGAGATCAACACATAGCCAATGTGCATTCATCCTAAATTGAAAGGGAGAGGCCATGGAGTCCTCATTTTCAGATGCATCACATGTTTCTGTAGGCCTGAGGTAAAACACATCCTCATGGAAGGCAAAAGCCCCTTCCTATTTCTGAAAACACATGGCTGAAAAGTTTCCCAGACAGGCCAAGTCCATGCCTAGATCACATTTGCCATTAGTTCTAGGACTCTTGACTGAGAAAAAAGTGGTTTTTTTTTTTTCTATATACTCCCCCTCTGCCAGTGTACACATACCCACACACATGCATACATCCACACACACAGATGCTCACGCCCACGTGGACCTGGCCAGCTCCAATTTGGGTGTGAGGTCTCAGCTCCAGGTGCCTGCTTCTTGGAGGTTCTTTCTTCCCTCCCTGCGGTCGTTTAGCTGTTCACCCTGATCAATTTGCAGCTTTCCTAATGCAATTCATAAACTGGACTGAAATGGTTTTGATTTTCTGTGGTCAGTTCTTTCCAAAGCAGAGAAACCTGGGTTTCCAGTTGACTCTTATGGCAGATAACAGAGATCAGTGATTCTAGAATCCATAGAGGTCACCAGAGTCCACCCTGGAATGTGACTGATGCCCATTTACTGGGGGAAACATGGAATGGAAACAGCTGAGGAGGGAATGAGAAGCTTCTCTTTGATCCATCAAGGTAGAAATGTCATCTTGGGCCTAGTGAAATTACAACAGCAAGTTGCTTTCTGCCAATTGTTCATTTTTATGATTTTTTTTCTGAGCAAATGTAAGAAAAGCACTGAAGATTTTTTAGAAGAGCATGTGTACTACTACTTTTTAGCACAAGGGCACAGAGTAGGCAGTCAATAAATATTTATGAAATAAATATTTATTAAGCTGATACTATGTTCCATGAAGTTGGAAGTACAAAGATTAATAAGATACAGAAAGTTCCCTCAGGGTTAAAGACTAGCACATATTCCATAATTTACCCCAGCATTGTTCCCAGAGAATACTATTATAAGTCATTATTCACTCCATGTCATAGATACTCATTTCTTTATTGTACCTCAGGCACTAAAAACCTCCTTTGACTCTCCTTTAAACATCATTGTTATTTCCCCAGATTTCCTCTCCTTCTGATAGCCATCTCTTCTCTCCTCCTCAAAGAGGTACGCACCCCTGGTCTCTTTTCAAAATATTCTGAGGTTAATACCCCTCAAAAACCAGCCAATGCCTGGTATTGAGTAAGCAATGCTAAGCACAGCAAAAGCCTAATCTTCTCCATCCTGTTCAAGTTTGCCCTGGGAAGATCTGCTTTTTATTGTCTTGTGGACATCCATTCAGGAAAAGAAGTTCTTCATTTTAAGGAAATTAAGTTTATCAACCTTTTACTTTATTATCAGTGCTGTTTGTATCATCTTTGAGAACCTGTTTCCTAACCTAAGGTCTTAAAGATACTGTACTGTTTTCTTCTATGAGTTTTGCTTTTTTCCCAAGTAATTTTATATGCAGTTGATTCTTCTTCAGATTAAGTTTTTAAAAGTGATCAGTTGTCCCAGCATCATTTAGTGCCACCCGCAGTCATCTGCAGTGCCACCTCACTTATCCATATTTGTATGGACCTGTTTTATTCATGTGTCTGTATATGTATGGATTTGTTTCTGCATGTTGACTCCTGCACAAGTACCATACTATCTTAATCATTAAAACTGGCAGACATATCCTAAAATGACCCCCAATTAGTCACACACTTGTACAGTTCTCTCCTCTTGAGTGTGGGCAGGACTTATGATTTGGTTTTAACCAACAGAAAATAACCTGTCACTTCCTTGATTAGGTTACTTTATATGGCAAAGGTGAATAGATTTTGCAGATCTGTTGATTTGAAGTTAATCCAGAGAGAGATTATCATGGGTGGGCCCAACTTAATCAAGTGGAAACCCTTAAAAGAAGGACTGAGGTTTTCATGAAATGAGATTCTCATTCTGGTCATGAAGAAGTGAGCCACCATTAGCTTTACAGCTACAAATAATAAATTCTCCCAGTAACCTAGTGAGTTTAGAAGTAGATTCTTCCCCAGTCAAGCCTCTAGATGAGAATGAAGCCCAGGCAATACCTCGATTGCAGCCTTATGAAAGCCTAAACAAAGAACCCAGCTACGCCATACCCATACTCTTTATTTTTTTTTGTGAGGAAGATTAGCCCTGAGCTAACATCTGTTGCCAATCCTCCTCTTTTTTACTGAGGAAGATTGGCCCTGGGCTAACATCCATGCCCATCTTCCTCTACTTTATATGGGACACCACCACAACGTGGCTTGATAAGCGGTGTGTAGGTCTATGCCTGGGATCTGAACCTGTGAACCCCAGGCCGCTGAAGCGGAGTGCATGAACTTAACTGCTATGCCACTGGGCTGGCTCCAATACCCATACTCATTACTCACAGAAACTGTTGGATTATGAATGTATGTTTTATCTTAAGCCACTAAGTTTGTCGTAGTTTACGACAAAAGTTATGATAATTTGGCATCTATCCATGAACAAAAGTGCCTTTGTGGGAGCTGTGGGATCCAGGTAGGACATTGTGAAACCCTGATGCAGTAGAAGAATGGAGAGAGCCATTGTGAGAAAATAGACCTGTACCCAGGAAGCTGACTCATCAACTATGGTCCCAGATACAGACCTGAAAACAGCTGTTTGTCTGAGGACTCAGCTATAGCCCATTTGTCTTTGGTTCTGTCACCAGCACCATATGCCAAGGGACCCATGAAGAGTCATACCCTCTCTGTGTTGGATAATAGACATACAGAACTTGGTCCCAACTGTGGACCATAAAGTGGCCATGAATCAGCTCCAGCCCCTCTTGGACATGGTCTGGGAGCCCATGAAGGACACTAACTAAACAATCATCCATGGATGAGAGAAGACTTTGTGGAAGTCCAGAAGTCAGGTGGAGAAGTTAAAGCACAACACTCGAGCAGAAAAATCTGAGATTGGACACATTGAAGAGGGTGAGAGGAATAGTGTGATTTTACCCACATCCTCCATCTCCCAAGGCAGCACAGCTCAGTGCCGAGAAAGATCTTCATAGCTTGTAATTTCTCTCATGGGGGAAAGTGAGTGTGGGGATAAGTGTCTGGGTTGCCCAACTGTGTGGGATGCTGTCAACGAGGCCCATTTCTCTCTCTCCTTACCCAGAGCACTGAGTCCTGAGCTGACTGGTGGTGTGCACTGGGAGAGCAGCAGCCAGAGCTCAGAATGGAACTTAACAAAGGGACACAGATCCTACTAACTGCCTCATGGACTCCATCAGGAGGTCTGCCCACAAGTTGCTGGGGACACCTTACCTGTGGATCTCCCCACTTGCCCACAGGCACTTCCAGCACTATGCATGCTGCACCCCACCCCCCAACCTGTGGCTGGCTCCCCATGTGTTCTCCTAATGGTGGTGAGAGCAAGCTTTAGCAGATGGCTAGTCAGCACACGCAGAAAGCTGGCCCAAATCTGTGGGCTTGAGAGAAACCACTTGAGCATTCATCACAGTCCTAGGGAAAGCAAAAGAAAGGCTGTCAGTACCCACTATGGCTTTGCAGGATTAAGAGAAGGCATACAAGCTTAATTATT